TGCTCAAGTATTTTAGAAATTCTGGATATAAGTCCCTTATCTGGTATGTCATTACCAAATACTTTTTCTCAGTCAGTGGCTTCCCTTTTTACCCTTTTGGAGAAGTTTTTGGATGTGCATGAAGTTGACTTTTTTTTTTAATACTAGTTTATTCTTGATGCATTTCTTTCTTAATTTTGAACCATATAATGTTCTCTTGCTCTGTTCGGACAACTAGCTTTTGGTTTCAAATGAGCACAACAGATTTGAACTGCCAGAAATATATGGTCTTTGGATTAGTAGAGCAACTTCTATAAATGAATCACAAAGGGAAAATTATAGTATAAGGCCGTTATTGTAAAAAGCTAAGAAACGTTTACATACACTAGTATTAATCCTGGAAGATTACCACACCAAAAAGAATTGGCTGGCACAGAACCATTTCAGGAAAGAACATATGACCAAGAACCAGTGAAAATAAAGGAGGAAGTTCAAGCTGCTTTGAAGGAATTTGTAGAAAATAAGGCACCAGGAAGAGATGACATAGTTCGACAAACCAATTGGCATATTTCAACAAACAGATGCAGCCTGGATGTATTCACCAGATCGTGTTGAGAAATCTAAGTGACAGCTACCTGGCCATCTAACTGGAAGAGATCCATATTTATTCTCATTCCCAAAAAAAGGTGATCCAACAGAATGTGGAAATTATTAAACAATATCACATGTAAACAAGATATTGCTGTAGATTATTAAAAAAGGACTAGAACAGTAGTACCTCGACAGAGGACTTCCAGAAATACAAACTGGGTTTAGAAGAGGCTGTGGCACCAGGAATATCAATTCTGATGTCAGATGGATCTGAAATTACTAGATGAATGTCTACTTGTGTTTTTTTGACTATGCAAAAGCATTTGACTATGTGGATCACAATGAGCATTGAGAAGAAGGGAGAGTAGATGCTAATAAATTAGAGGTAGTCAGGGTTGATTTGGAACTCTTCGGCTAAAACTGATTACATGCTTAAAATATATTTATTTTAACATTATAATGATTTTTATTCCATTTTTTTACCCACATGATTTATGATTAAATTTTTTTAAAAAATTCCCTTCTACCTTCCTTTCCATCACTGTTAATCCTCCAAGATTGATACCATGTGTAAACCTTTCCATAGCTTTTTACAATGGTGGTCATAATTATAATTATAATTATAATCATCCTTTTGTGACTGATTTATGTAGGAATTTGCTTTATTAATCCAAAGGCCACATTCTCTGGCAGTTCAAATCTAGTAGTCATTCTGCAAGAGTAAAGGTTGACACTCTTCCTGTGCAGCTTGTTGTTGTTTGTTGTTATGTGCCGTCGAGTCGTTTGCGACTCATAGCAACCCTATGTACAACAGCCCTAAACCCTGCTCTATCCTGTGCCAATCTCACTGCCTCTGACACACCCATCCGGATTACCCCAGTCACTGAATCAATCCATCTCATAGAGGGTCTTCCCCTCTTGCGCCATCCCTCCAACCTGCCAAGCATGATGTCCCTCTCCAACGACCTGTCCCTCCTTGCAACATGCCCA